ATATCTATGAAATAATAAACTCTTTGAATCATGAAGAATTAACAAACATTCAAAACTACATTAATTCGATTAATTCTTAAATCCAAAATATTAATATTTATGAGATAATTGATATTTTGAACCAAGAAGAAAGGATAAAAATACGAGACTATATCGATTCAACTAATTCCCAGCGACAAAGTGCAACTGAAAAAAAGCTTAATGCTTTAATTGATAAAATAAAAAATTTACCAAATCAACAAATCATAAGAATTGAACATATAGTTAATACTATGATCTATCCTCAAGGTAATATGAAAGGCCAAATATTATCGCCATACTTGCAAAATAAGGCGATTGAGTTTGTGTCTAGTGGTTTCTTTAAACACTATTCATCTGCTTTCAACTTACAAAATAAAATAAAAAAGTTAGAAAGTAAAAACAAAGTATTAACAAAATCAGTAGAACAATTGAATAAGAAACTTAGATCTTTTTGTGTAAAAATCGTTCAAGCTGAAAAAAGAAAACAACAATATATTTTTAAAATTCGATCTGTAGCTCAGAAATCAAAAAAGATAAAAAAAAATCAATTTCAAATAGCTGCAAAAAAAATGATAAAGCGAAATAATAATGAGTATACAACCAAATTTGTTAAACTTGCTACTGAGATAAGCAATATTAGAACAATTTCACTTTTAGCAACCATCGAATGTGCTAAAGCAATAGCAATATTCTTTACTGGAGAAATACCAAAACATTGGCTATCAACAGAAACTCTTTCTCGATGGAATAAAGAAGTTGCCAGAATATCACTTAATCAAAATCGACCAGAAAACCCAAATTTACCTGCATATTCGTATGGTGTAATGGCTGATAAAAGTACACGAGGAGATAAAAAAGTGTTTTTGGTTTGTTTTGCATATTGGAATGAGCATAATCAGCTGATGATTACTCTTGCAAAAATGATAGATCTAAATAAATGCAGCGGAGCTATTATAGCTAAAACAGTAAAAGAAACATGTGAAGAAAATAAACTAGATCCAGCACTATGTGGATTTTGGCTTACTGATAATACAGCATACATGTCAGGAAATAAATTGGGAGCCATCGTTGAATTCAACTTGCAAGCAAACGCATCTTCGTTTAAAATTCCATGTGGTTTACATGCACTACAAATATCTTTAGTTGCTTTTAAAAAAACCACGTTTGGAAAGATAAATATGGCATCAGGATTATCTTTAAAAAACATCTATACAATCTTCTTCAGCTTGCCTATTATTTACATGATGGCCATAAAGAGAGTAATAGAGAATGTTTATTAAATATGAAATCTAGTACAATATGAAGACTATATTGAACGCTTTTGCAATATAACCTACCCAAATATCAAAAGCCTATTTCAAGTAGATGGAAATATCAATTAATAACAGTGAATCAATATCTTGAAAATTTTAAAGCTAATAATCTTTTTAGTACTTGGTTTATAAATAAATTTGAACAATTTAAAAATTTACCTGAAGGATTCATCAAACAATAAAAAGTTTTTGTTGAATGGTTAAATGATATAAAACTTAATTTTCAAGTAAAAATGTATGGCATGATTTGGGCAATTTTTTTACTTAAAATTTTTTGAATTTCTAAGTGGGTTTGATTCTATACCTTGGGTATTTGAAAATAATACATTCAAATGTTTACTTCCTGGATACCGTGCACATGAACTTTCTGATCAAGTTTTATTTTGGCTTGAAGAATTAGAAAAAGCGATTATTAATTCTTATATTATTTTTGAAAAAGAACTTAATAAAGCACAATTAAAATTAAGTGATCAAGAACTTATGGCCTCAATACATGATATAAAACTTGGTTTAAAGAAAGCCCATGAAGGATTTCTAAAATGGATGGGCTGCTGGACTCATCTACCCTTGACAATTTGCTTATTAGGTGAAAGCAATAGTCCTGATTTTGCATGAAGTATTTGTTCTGTTTTTTTAAATAAACCATTAAATATTGAAAAAACTGAAAAAGAACTTCTATACATTGAGCTGCTAAATAAAGATAAGTTAAATGGAAATAATTAGTCATTTGGTTTATTTAATGTATTAAAAGAACCTAAATTTTTGGAAGAATTTCTTATCTTTTCAGTCTCCCATTCACACGAACTTTCTAACTTTCCTCTTTTGTATGATTTCGTTAAATATAGAATTTGGTCAATTATAACACACCAACAACAATTAGAAGGTATGTTCAATAGATATAACATCAAGACACACCCAAATATGGCCGATGAAGTAAAAGAAGCAAGGCTTCTACTCTCAGGTCCAAGTAAACCAGAATTAAGGTTTGCTCGTGAAGACTTAATAACTATTTGAAAAGAATGACGATACAACTTTGCTGAAAATGCTGAAGAAGAGCTTGGAGAGATGGCTGCTAGCAATATTTTAAAGGAATTATTAAGCAAAAAATAAATGCGTTAAAAAAGAATAAATGCGTTAAAAAAATTTTTACACCCAAGAATCTATCCATGTAGATCTGATCTTTCCAGTGAAAAATCCTAATTATTAAATTTTTTATAATCTCGATACTATGTTTGTAAATCATTTAGCGTGTAACACCCCAATCTAAGGATGGCAAATGATTTAAAAACATGTTTAAATGATTTTTTATGTTTTAAAACAATGTCACTGAAATTGATGTCATGATTAATAATACTGATGCGGTTAAGACTGAGAAATAAAATTTCAAAGCAGCACTGAAGTTGAAATTAATCAATTAGATGCAGTAATTCATCCACCAACGCCTTAATCAACAATGTTTAAAACATTTAATTAAATCATGTTGAAAATCATAAAAATTATTTAAAAGCCATCCCTACATAATGCGAAGTGATGGTAGATCACGTGATCGAAAAGGAGTTACACATTTGCGCTACAGAGCCTCCGAACGAAGCCGGGTGTTGTCAATTCGCAAAAGGAAACTGATTGAAGGCGAAGATCATATGCAAATGATGCAATGACAACGCCCAGACAACGCATAGCCTCGACAATGAAGCACAAATACAGTAGTATGAACTAAAAATGGGAAAGTCTTGGTACGGAAAACCAAACAGAAACTTCACTTGACCCACCCAATCCACCTTTTGGATGACCACGTGATCCTTAAATTTCTTCGCTCACTTCGGCAAAGCGGGAAACGATGGGAAGATTTAGGAAATCAACAACTTTGCAATGGCGTTTGACAGGCAAATTTAGGATAAATATTTATTTTAACATACTAAGATTAATCAACTCTACATAGCCGACTAAACCAAATTTTAAATTACGGCTTGGTTGAGTATATTAGGTAGCACATTCATAAAAATTGTTCTCTGTAATATTTACTGAGAATAATTAAAACGATAGAGTATCTATTAGTAAATTTCACGCGGTGCATTTTTAATCAGACCACAGATACGTAATTCTACAGCTATGAGATAATTGATCTTAAGTTCGATGATCAATTGATGTGAATGATCTATAAGTTGATTAAATTTAATACGATTTTGTTTAGGATTTTTGATCAACCCCACCGTCGTCACCAAATTGTAACTACCGAGGTGGATATAATTATTAATTTGTATCACTGATCCCATAGTTAACAAAATTAGAAATTTAGAGATAAATAAATACGTGGGTTTGATAAATAATGTTATATTTAATATGGAAACTATTACTAATTTTAACTTATATCTTCTATTGGAATCATATTTTATTATTAAGGGGTTTTTTAATAACTTTATTATGGGGAAGCGATACTTAATGTATAAGAGAATCAGATTTTTATTAAGATAAGTAAAACTACAAATACAATTGTGCAATAATACTAACTAATACTAATATTATACTACTATCACTATTCATATAAACTACAACAAGTGACATTAAGGGTATTATTTACTAAATTTAAGTGTAATTCGACTTATCCTTCTAAACGTACCAGGAAGGTATCCTTTTATACTTTTCTAATATCTTAGTAATTAGATACTTTTCCACGGTAGTTATTAACTCTTATCATTAGTTCCTTACTTTCCCAGGTGATTACTAACTATCAATTTTCAGTCCCAATAGTTAACAACTTTTGATAACCAGCTCCGATAGTTCGTAACTAATGGCCGATCCTAAACCCCACAGCCGATGTTGTTACTGATCTGTAATACAAATAATAAAATAAATAAAAAATAAGGAAAATAAAGAAATTTAACATATTTCATATTAGGCATAACAACGCAAATACAACTCTACGATTTTATTGGCCAATCCTGATTGATGTACGTGAAGTGACCCGAAAGGGTATCCTTATGTCAAACAAATTTCGGGCTTAAGATCATTTCCGGCCTAAAAATTTTGGGACGTAGTATATCAAAAATTTCCTATATATTTAGTATATAAAAATGCCCCTATGACTAAAATTTCGTGCCGAAAATTTTTATTTAAAGGTCGGAAGTTAGTTAATTTGCATTTTCTTATATTTTTTTGCGTTTGTTTTGTTACACAATATCCTGTAATTTTATTGGATCCGATCTACGAAATTTATGATCGGAAGTGATCTTCAGCGATCTTCAGCCCGGAATTT